GAAGAAAAGAGTATTATCAGGAGAGTATCATAGTTTTCTTCTTATTTGTAAAATATTACTGGTGTTTTAATCTATCACGAGTCAGTTAGTAACGACGAACTCAACGAAAGTTTAATTATGATACTGATAAATTAGACCTAGTAAATAGTTCTCACAATGATGATATAAAGAATGAAAAGAAAGTGTTACATATATAAAAGATATATTAATATGAGTACTAATACAATTGAGTCAGAGCTTTTGACTTCATCTTTCTGTTCTAAGTAGGTCTCAATTAGATTAAGTTAATTCTAATAAGCATTTCTGAGTGTAAGTGTGCAGCAATGAAAACTCACTAATATCCACACTCTTCTATTAGTAAACAACGTTCTTATTGTCACTGAATTATTAAATTTATATTTATAAAGGTAGATAAAAAGATTATTCTTTCTTCTGGCAACTTCTATTCAAAGACGTGGCTAATGGCAAACAAAAAAACACTATGTTTTACATGCAATAAAGAAAAAATAACACATTCTTGTGAAGGATGTTCAAAAGACTTTTGTTCAACAGAAGATCGTCAAATATTAAATAATAAATTGCATCATATCACCCATGAATATAACGAATTTAAACAAACAATGAATGAACAAAAACAAAATCCACAAAAACATTCATTAATAAAACAAGTTAACCTATGGGAAATAAAATCAATTGAAATAATTCAACAAAAAGCACAAGTATATAGAAAAATTGTCATTGAATCTTTACGAACATGTATTAATGATATTGAAATGAAATCTAAAGACTTGAATGAACAAATAAAACAAATAGGTGAGAAAAATGAATTTAATGAAATTAATTTAAACGATTTAAGAAATGAATTGATGAAAATTACAGAAGAATTACATAATCCGTCAAATATGTCTATTCAAGAAAATTCCCAACCGTTCATGAATGACATTTCAATCATTTTATCAAAAAGTAAGTTTTTAAGAAATAATTTCTAATAGAATAAATCTCATTTTGTATGAAATTATTTTAAACAACTATGATATAAAGAAAAATAATGGTGAAGAAAATAAAAAAATATTGAGAATCGTATTAATATAGAAATAGAAAATTAAATTTATTTATATGCAAAAAAAGTATAATAAAATATGAAATAATATTAAATTATATAAAAAATTTTCTTAAAAGATTCAAAAGATATTTTTGATTGATAAAAACAAAATTCAATTATTTTCTTCTTTTTTCACTTTTCAAAACAATTGATTTTTATTTTCCAAATACAAAACTTCAAATGTTTCATGTTCGTTTTTAGTCGATTTTTTTTGAAAATTTAATAAAAACTATCAAATAAAATTTATCTTTTCATTACACATTTTCATCAACATTTTATTCAAAATTCAATTTTAACGAAACAACAAAGTTTCTTCTTCTTCTGTTCATCAAAATCTTTCATTTACATCATTTTCTAGAACCAAAATTCAACAAATGGAATCAAAATGCCATCACTGTGGCTGCTGGAAATAGAGAAGGACAACAATTAAATCAACTCAATCGCCCTGTTGGAATTTTTATTGATAAAAGCAAAAATATTTTTATTACTGATTGTTATAATGATCGCGTTGTTGAATGGAAATATAATGCAAAGATAGGACAAATCATTGCAGGTGGAAATGGCAAAGGAGATCGAATGAATCAATTGTATTGTCCAACAGATATGATTGTTGATCAACAAAGTGATTCCATCATTATTGCTGATTGGAGGGGCAGACGAGTGATTCAATGGTTGAATCGAAATCAACAAATTCTCATTGACAATATTGATTGTTATGGCTTGGCAACGGATAAATATGGATTTCTCTATGTTTCTGATAGTGAGAAAGATGAAGTGAGGCGATGGGAAATGGGTGAATACAACAACGAAGGAATTATAGTGGCAGGTGGAAATGGACAAGGAAATCAACTAAATCAACTTCATGCTCCTCGTTTTATCTTTGTTGATGAAGATCAGTCTGTTTATGTATCAGATAGTAAGAATGATCGTGTGATAAAATGGAGAAAAGGTGCAAAAGAAGGAAAAATTGTGGCCGGAGGAAATGGAAGAGGAGAAAATCTCAATCAATTTTTTGAACCTCGAGGATTAATTGTTGATGATTTAGGTCAAATCTATGTGACAGATAGGGAGAATCATCGAGTAATGCGTTGGTGTGAAGGAAAAGAAGAAGGTGAAATTATTGTTGGGGGGAATGGTGGAGGAAATCAATCAAATCAATTGAATGGTCCCTGTGGTTTATCTTTTGATGATGAAGGAAATCTGTATGTTCCTGATTATTGGAATCATCGAATTCAAAAATTTGAAGTAATCCTGTGAATGAAATATTTTGTTAACAAAAAAAATGGTGAAATAAAATTAAAAGATAAAGCGAAGTTCTTTTGTTGAAAATTCGGATAGATAAATGTTCAGTTCTTCAACTTTTGTTAATTTCTGTTGAATTTTATAAGCGAAAAGAAAAAAACATATTTTATAATTTGAAATGAATTAAAATAGAAATTATTTGAAAAGACGATTTTATTTTTGATAGAATTCTATTTGTATATTTTTATTTGGTGACAATAATCAATTTTTTTTGTTTTTTTTTGATTTCATAAGATTTGTGAATCGTTCGAAACTTGAGGAAACAAGATACGTTTTATGAAAAATTTGTTAATAAAACTTGAATTGAAAAATGATTTGTCAAAATAAATATTTCAGATGTTCTTGATTATATTTAATTCAATTTTTACAAATAAAACAAATTTAATTTTGTATTTCTTATAAAAAGTTTATTTTAAAAAGATGTTACATCGAAAGTGTCACAGAGTTTCTATGAAAGAATTCATTTTAACCAATATAGAATTTTTTCAAACATGTTTTATTATGTATTTATACTGAAATATATCAAAATAACTTTTGAAATATTCCTTTATATATATAATACTTTCGTTTTTAACCTTACATGTGATTATATTTTGATTATTTCGAGATAGTTTATCTTTTTTAATTAAGTCATGATATTTATCAATGGTTTTTTATTTTCTTGTAAAATTTATTTAAGATTTTTAGCTTCAATAAATAACAAAATGAAACTATCTCCATTTTATTCACGTTTGAGTTCTCAATGTTGTTTCGTTATGAACCACTAAAAATCTATTTAATCAAAAACAAAACGTGTTTTTTTGTTATTTTTCTTCGCTTGAAATATTTTGTTACGTATTTTTTTTAAATCCAATATATAGCTGAAAATAAACATATGAAATAACAAATATAAAATGTTGTTCTTTTACAAGATAGTTAGAAGAATTTAATCGAAAAAAAGAAATTCAAAGGATTGTTACAATCTTATCGAAGGTCGAAGAAAAAGATGATGCTTGAAAGCGTCTGTAAAAGTTCATTGATTCAAGAAAACACGAATATTTATACGATGAGCAGCGATTATTTCCATCTCTGATATACAATATATTCTGAAAAAGACGTCTGTCATATACTCTTGTTCATAACTTGAAAATAACCCATTTCGATGTAAGTTAAAAGAGCAGAAGAAAAACAAATTATAATAATAAAAAGGAAAAATTCGATACGATCATATATGAAAGAAAAGAGAAAATTACAGCATGGTTATGCATGGAAGAAAATACTATATGATCATATATGTGATTGATATAGCGAACGCATAATTTATTTGTTTGCTTACAAGTGGTATAGACTAAATTTTCCTTCATATCGAAATAATTACAAAATATCACAAGTTTAACAATTTAATTATTTGAAATACTTTCATTTAGGTAAGTTAGTCTTGAAGTAAAATGAATATGACGATACAGTTGGATGCATAAGAGATTAATATATCATCTATTTCGAGGGTAACGATCTATGTTTAATCGTCAACCACATCCGAATCAGCATCAAAATATTCTTTCATTGAAAAAACATCACTAGAATTGCTGCACGAAAAAGTTCTTGTTAGATTTCTGTTACTACTGAACAATATTTTTATTATCATTGAGTGATTAAGTTTACATCTAGAAAAGTAGATAAGAAAATATTTATTTCTTCTAGAAATTTATATTCAAAGACATGGCAATGATAAACAATAAAACACAATGTTTTAATTGCAAGAAAGAAAAAATAACATACCCTTGTGACGGATGTTCACAAAGATTTTGTTTTATGGATTTGTCAGAACATAAACAAATATTAAATGATGAATTAAATCATATCACCAATGAATATATTGTATTTAAAGAAAGAATTAATGAACAAAAACAAGATTCACAAAAACATTCATTAATAGAACAAATTAATCAATGGGAAATAAAATCAATTGAAATAATTCAACAAAAAGCAAAACAATGTAGAGAAATAGTCATCGAATCTACAAAAACATGTATTAATGATATTGAAAAGAAATATAATGATTTATCTGAACAAATAAAACAAATTCATGAAGAAAATGAATTTAACGAAATGAATTTAAATTATTTAAAAAGTCAATTAATAGAAATGACAGAAGAATTCAATAATCCAGTAAAAATTTCTATTGAACAAGATTCACAATCATTTATTAATGAAATTTCAATTAATTTCTCAAAAAGTAAGATTTAAAAAAAATATTTGAAAGAAAAACTCTTATTTTCTATGATATTGTGTTAAAAAAGAATGATAAGATATAAAATAATATTGAAGAAAGATTTTATTCTATTTGAAATATTTTTCTGAATATTCATATCAAAATTGTAAATTAAAATAAATAATAAAATCAAATAGATTGTCAGCTTTATATAAAAAATAGAATAGTAAAAACAAAATCAAACAGTAATCTTTTATTTTTTCGTTCGATAGAAAACAACTCGTCTTTTGTTTCGTTATTCTCTAGAACCAACATTCAACAAATGGAAACAAAATGCTATTACTGTGGCTGGTGGAAATGGAAAAGGACAACAATTAAATCAACTCATGGGCCCTCATGGAATCTTTATTGATGAAAAGAAAAATATTTTCATTGCTGATTGTTCAAATCATCGTATAGTTGAATGGAAATGTAATGCAAATGAAACACAAATCATTGCAGGTGGAAATAACAAAGGAAATCGAATAGATCAATTGAATCTACCAACAGATGTGATTGTAGATCAACAAAATCATTCGATTATCATTGCTGATCAAGGGAACAGACGAGTGGTTCAGTGGTTGAATCAAAATCAACGAATTCTCATTCACAATATTGACTGTTCTCGCTTAGCAATAGATAAAAATGGATTTCTTTATGTTTCTCATCGTGAGAGGAATGAAGTGAGACGATGGAAAATGGGAGAATATAACAATGAAGGAATTATAGTGGCAGGTGGAAATGGCAAAGGAAATGAACTCAGTCAATTCAATTCTCCTAGTTTTCTCTTTGTTGATAAAGATCAATCTGTTTATGTATCCGATATATTCAACCATCGTGTAATGAAATGGACGAAAGATGCAGAAGAAGGAAAAATCGTGGCTGGAGGAAATGGTGAAGGAGGAAATCTCAATCAATTGTCTAAACCGGAAGGAGTAATTGTTGATGATCTGGGTCAAATTTATGTAGCTGATTTTGGAAATCATCGAATAATGCGTTGGCATGAAGGAAAGGAAGAAGGTGAAATTGTTGTTGGTGGAAATGGTGGAGGAAATCAATCAAATCAACTCAATGGTCCCGGTGGTTTATGTTTTGATGGTGAAGGGAATCTTTATGTTGGTGATCATTATAATCATCGAATTCAAAAATTTGTAACAGTTTTGTGAAGAAAATTCTGATTTTGAAAAAAAGAAAAGAGTTTTTGTTAAATAAATAACCGAGAAACAAAAGAAAAGAAAATAATAAAGAAAAATCTCTTTTTTAGGATGTAGACGTGGGTAAATAGAACATTAATCCACGCCCTTCTTTTACTTCTGATTTAACTTTATCATCTAAACCTCTATCGTCATTATCATTAACAAATCAAGGACGTTCAAATAAAAATCTATCACAATAATTAGGTTAATTATCGATTCAATATCATCTTTCTTGAGGGTGTGGGTGTGAGGGTATAGATGCAAAGTAAAAGTAACCACACACACATACTTATTCATGTTAAAATAGACTCATATCTCTGTGATATTTTCATCAAATCCCTTAATATATGTACGTGTTTTCATAATATGACTAAATTTTGTTGGTCTCACAATTAAATTGTTGTTATAATTGCTTAATTGATGACTGTATCACAACAATCAAGATCGCAGATATACAGCTTTACGATGAGAAAAAAGAAAAGTCCATCGTATCTCGATCGAAAACTCGAAGAGAGGCATTGTATTATCGTGAATTCTAATAGTTATTGCATTAGTCAAATAACAAGTTGAAATAGAAAAGTAGCAATCATATATGTGCTGATATATTCTATGAGCTAAAAATTGTGAATAGTCAAAGAAACGGTTTAATGGAAAATATTTAAAGAGAATAAAAATTAATTTCTAATCAAAATCGACTCTTTTTCATCACGGATAATATTGCCCATTATAAAACACAATTATTTATACATTTTTGTTTCATCCATAAATAAATACTTTTGATGATATGATCAAAAGTTTTTGTCAATACAATCAAAGAATAAAATAAGTTCATCGTTTCTTTTGTTTGTTATATACTGCATATTATGCGATATTAGCAGTGTCAACAGCTTATATAACATCTTTGCGTATCAAATTCCTGAATCGACACCATTCTTACTAAAATATAAAACACTATTATTGACTAGTGCATAATTAGTACAACATATACTATAATTGCATGAATTTATATACAAAACTTGAACATTTGGCTTACGTCCTACTGAAAGTTATTCTGCTCAAAAATAACAATGATGTATAATACAATGTATAAATTACAAATTGAATAAATTGAAGTGTCTCGACTATTTTTTGTATTAAATCTGTCAGAGTAATCTACTAAAAAATATTGATTACGATTATATTTAAAGTCGTTGAGATAACCTTTTCTCGATTGTTGTTCTCTTTTCTTTCTGTTCTGTATCTTTATAGCTTACAATTTGAGTCTAGTACTAGTTCTGTATATGTCTCTCTAATGTTTCTTTTTTTATCTGTTCTTTTCCATCGACTATATCATATTATTATTTTGTGTTTGTTTTTATGTTATATGGGAGAAGCAATTGCTTGATGGCAAGTTGTTGAATAATAGTAGAAAATATATAATCTTTTCTATCATATATAAGACTTCAATTTGAATTATTTCAATAGTAAACAAATGATTTTTCAGGATGTCTAAATGTGATATGAAATAGTTATTATTTTCTTGTAGAAACCATATGAACTGATGGATAATCATCGTTTGCGTGCTATTATATTGAAATTACAAGATCGTCTGAGTAATGATGATCGAAAACGGTTACATTTTTATCTTGGCAATGATGTACCACGACGAATTCGAGATGATTCAACACTTGGTGGAACACTTAGTCTTATGGATTCTCTTTTTGACCAGGATAAAGTGAATGAAAAAGATTTTACTTTTCTAATAAATGCATTTGATGAAATTCAATGTATTGATGCTGTGAAATTATTAAGAGGTATCTTTTTTTGTTTTGTTCATTTCCTATTATATTTTATTATTCTAGAACATTGGAGACACAATCAATCAGATATACAAAATCAATCAGTTGAAAGTTTATCGATGATAATGCCAGCAATGATAAATCAACTTCTTGAAGATCAAGATGAAGATAAATATTCTATGCAACAACGTAAGTATTTAACTATATTTATGTTTTATATTTGTTGAAAATCTAATTTAGTTGTTGTTAATCAGAAAAATACTTGTGATAATAACAATATAATGATCAATAGTAATAATACAAATATTAATCAAATACCTGTGATGAACAATGACGAAAAACCACAACATCCAGGATCCAAAAGGAAATATTTGTTAAACTCAAAAAAGATGTTGTGGAAATGTTTATTATTATTTGTGTTACTATCAATTGTTGGATATGGAATATTAATATCTTTTTCTATTCAGAATTTCGTTGATATTGGTCGAAAAATTCAACGCTTAGAAACATTAAATAATGAATCCATTGCAAGAATTCAACTATTGGAAACATCGAATAGTCAATCTATTGAAACAATTGAACATTTACAGCGTAAAGTGAAAGAACTCAAAAAACCACGTAATTATTATAGCCGCGTTGTATACTAAAACTAAACTCGATATGAGTAAGTTTCTAAGAAACTCAGACGGTTTTAAGACAATGACATGCCAGAATTTGCTGATTTTATATATATATGATAGGGAATAGTAAGGTAAGTATCCTATAAAAATTGCAGCTCGGTTAGATCACCTTTTCTCACTTAATAAATCAAAATAGCAGCAAAATTTTTGATAATTTTTAGTAGTAATTTGAGGATGAGTTTGGTGCGGATTTAGTTGTCGTGTCATTATCTACGCCCACACCCACATCCTCTTCTTTTCATCAAAATCTTTTGTTTTTATCGTTTTTTAGAACCGAAATGGGACAAATGGAAACAAAATGCCATCACTGTGGCTGGTGGAAATGAAAAAGGACAACAATTAAATCAACTCTATGGTCCTGAGGGAATTTTTGTTGATAAAAACAAAAATATTTTCATTGCTGATGTTGAGAATCATCGTATTGTTGAATGGAAACATGATGCAAAAGAAGGACAAATCATTGCAGGTGGAAATAAACAAGGCAATCGAACGGATCAATTGAATCGACCAACAGATGTTATTTTCGATCAACAAAATCATTCGATCATCATCACTGATAAAGGGAACAGCCGAGTGATTCAATGGTTAAATCAAAATCAACAAATCCTCATTGATAATATTCACTGTTCTCGTTTGGCAATGGATAAGTATGTATTCCTCTATGTTTCCGATTGTATGAAGAATGAAGTGAGACGATGGAAAATGGGAGAATATGAAAATGAAGGAATTATAGTGGCAGGTGGAAATGGTAGAGGAAATCAACTCAATCAACTAAATTGTCCTAGTTTTCTCTTTGTTGACGAAGATCAATCTGTTTATGTATCAGATTTTAGCAATCATCGTGTCATGAAATGGAGAAAAGATACAAATGAAGGAAGAATTGTGGCTGGAGGAAATGGTCGAGGAGAAAGTCTCAATCAATTGTTTGGACCTCGAGGAGTCATTACTGATCATTTAGGTCAAATCTATGTGACAGATAGAGGAAATGATCGAATAATGCGTTGGAATGAAGGAAAAGAAGAAGGTGAAGTTGTTGTTGGTGGAAATAGTAAAGGAAATCAATCAAGTCAATTGAATGGTCCCGTGGGTATATCTTTTGACGGTGAAGGAAATCTCTATGTTGCTGATTATTTTAATCATCGAATTCAGAAATTCGAAGTAATTTTGTGAATGATATTTTGATTTTTACATTAAAGTTCAATTTAATATGACAACTTTAATTAAGAAATTCGAATAAATAAATGTTAAATGTTCATTTTTGAATTATGCAGTGAAAAGAAAAGAAAAGTAAATTTTGTAGTTGATAAATACTTGTCTTAAAACTGCCCACTTCTAGTGTTATTGATATATATTTCACGCTTTGAAAATATACTAATACCACTTCAATCTTAACTTTATCACATGGCAACCTATCCGTTTTTAATTACACGCTTATTACATTTTTCGCGGAATAAAATCAGAACGATTAGAAGAAATGAAAAGAATATTAAATTTCCAATTATTGATATTTGAATAGATGCATCTGTTATATTTCGATTATATAGACTTAAGATATTATCGATGCTTTAGAAAATAAAAACACATATTTTTTCATCATATTCTCTTATTTTAAAATCAACTATGAATACAATGATGATGCATTGTTATATTGTTTTCATTATTCTCAGGTAAATAATTATTGATTTTTATTATTAATTTTGTTAACATTCAATCATTTTATATTTTAGTATAATAAGTTTGATTTTTATTCAAATTTATATGTTTATATGTATTCGTTTATCACTTTCATAGTTCAAATTAATTCTCAGATATGTGAGAAAACATCTCAGTATAGTGAATGTTCTACAAACAGTGCATGTGGATGTTTTCGTATGATAGGTGCTAATAATGATGCAGGCATTTGTGGTTTTCGCTGGCTAGCGTGTGCTCGTCTTGTACTGTGTAATTCATCAGACAATTCATGTTCTCAACCTAATACGACGTGTGTTCAACATCCTGAATGTAATGATCTTCCTGTTTGTTATCCAGTTACAATGACTGATCAAAGCATCTGTCCACCAATGCGAAGTGAGTGGATCTCGGTGGATGATAGATGCAAGATTCTTATTCACATTCTCAAGATATTTGAAACTATAAATTTGGTCTGTTTTAGATAAAACCAATCTTAAATGGAAACAAGATGCTATCACTGTGGCTGGTGGAAATGGACTTGGACAAGAATCAAATCAACTCGATCGCCTTATTGGAATCTTTATTGATAAAAACAAAAATATTTCATTGCTGATACTTTTAATCATCGTATCGTTGAATGGAAATATAATGCAAAGGAAGGACACGTCATTGCAGGTGGAAATGGCGACGGAAGTCAAATAGATCAACTGAATCATCCATAAGTTGTGATTGTAGATCAACAAAATCATTCGATCATCATTGCTGATTCTTGGAACAGACGAGTAACTCAATGGTTGAATCAGAAGCAACAACTTCTCATTCACAATATTGACTGTTATGGTTTGGCAATGGATAAAAATGGATTTCTTTATGTTTCTGATATTATAAAGAATGAAGTGCGACAATGGAAAATGGGAGAATATAACAACGAAGGAATTATAGTGGCAGGTGGAAATGGCAGAGGAAATCAACTTAATCAACTCAATTATCCTACTTGTATTTTTGTTGATGAAGATCAATCTGTTTATGTATCAGATTTTAGCAATCATCGTGTCATGAAATGGAGAAAAGATGCAAAAGAAGGAACCATTGTGGCTGGAGGAAATGGTCAAGGAGGAAATCTCAATCAGTTATCTGGACCTCGAGGAATAATTGTTGACCATTTGGGTCAAATCTATGTGGCAGATAGCAATAATAATCGAGTAATGCGTTGGTATGAAGGAAAAGAAGAAGGTGAAATTGTTGTTGGTGGAAATGGACAGGGAAGTCAACCAAATCAATTGAATCATTCCAAGGGTTTATCGTTTGATGATGAAGGAAATCTTTATGTTGCTCATCATAATAATCATCGAATTCAAAAATTTGAATTAATTTTGTGATAAGATTCTAATTTTAAAAGGGAGAAAGAAAGTTTTATTGAATAAATAATCGCGAAATAAAAACCAAAGATATTGAATATATATCAATTTAAACTACGAGATATTACAAGTCATTGTAAAAATGAATTTCTCTACAAAAATGTATCGTTCATGTGATTTTTATTTAGTTTCAGAGAAATAAAGTAAACTATTGATTTTTAAAAAATTCTTACAAATCTCATATTAAAAATGCAATGTACTTCTCTTTCGCTGCTTTCAAAATAATCTTTTATTTATATTCACACGCACACCCACAATCTCAAGATATACTAATTAAAAGTTTTTTAATTGATTGGTTATCTAACATTTACTCTAATGTGAGCAACATGTACAATAGTATAGAAGAACATTAAATGGGAAAAAAATGACTGTATATATATATGTCGTATTTCTTATCTTACGATATATAAAATAGAAGAAAGAGCAATATCCAAGACGAATGATTCACATTGTAACAATGCTGTTAAAATATCATATCATTTTACAAGAATCAATTTAATGAATACAAACTGCGCGTCTCTTTTATATACAGCATAGATGTTGTTCAATGGTACATCTTTTATATATCGATGAAGTAATAAAGTTACTGATTAAATACTAATCACGATAAGTTAAAGAAAATTTGAAGGGGACAATATTGATGAGACGAATATGTTCCCAGTTGAGGTACTCCTACGAAATGAGTTTAATGCAAATTTTGATTTTAATCAATGAAAATAAAATACATAAAAAATAATGTCTGTTTCACCATTTTAATACAAATTTTTTCATGTTTCTATTCTCTGAGTATTATCACATAGTGAATGTTATACATTCTCTAACGAAATATAATGTATAGTATGCTACTATAGTGATTCTGCTCGAAAACAAATAAAAGATGGATCAAGACCAAATCAAGAATCGGTTCGATGACATTACAAATTTTTTTTTAAATACAACGTTCATGATACAGAATTAAATGAAATTATTAAAAAGATAAGACATTTAGTTTATATTAACAAAGAAATACATATAAGATAATGGTGTGATTTTATATTTACTACTAAAATGGATATATCTAGATATGAAAATAGTTAGCCAGTCACATACACTTGTGTATACATAACCGATCAGTCACGCTATGAGAGGATCTTCTCTTCGCATTGTATTTTATTCGAAATGAATAACAAAAACACAAATAAGAAAGAAAACGAAACAAAGAATGTGAATAACGGAAAACCAGATATGATGTGAAAGAATGTGTGAAGGCATATGAAGATAGACTAAAACACATGCACATGTGTGTACATATACACTTTCTTAAGGTTATATCTAAAAAAGTAGATAATTAGATATTCATTTCTTCTATAAACTTCTACTCAAAGACATGGCAATGACAAACAAAACACAATGTTTTATATGTAATAAGAAAAAAATAACTTATCCTTGTAAAGGATGCTCAAAGGAATTTTGTTTAATGGATTTAACAGAACATCGTCAAATACTAAATAATGAATTACATCAAATTATTAATGATTATGATGAATTTAAAGAAAACATTTATGAACAAAAACCGAATCCACATGATCTTTCCTTATTAGATCAAATTTATCAATGGGAAATAGATTCAATTGAAAAAATTCAACACAAAGCACAAGAGTGCAGAGAAATTGTTATTAAATTATCTCCAAAATTTATTAATGATATTGAAAAGAAATTTAAAGATTTAAATGAACAAATAAAACAAATTCGTGAAGAAAATGACTTTAATGAAATTAATTTAGAGTATTTAAGAAATGAATTAACAAAAATTACAGTAGAATTAAATAATTCATCAAAAATTTCTATTGAACACGGCGCACAATCATTTATTAATGATATTTCAATTATTACATCAAAAAGTAAGTTTTTAAAAAAATAATTTCTAAAAGAAACATACTAATTTTCGATGAAATTATATTGAAAAACTGTAATACAATGAAATATAATGATGAAGAACAGAAAATTCAATTTATTTGTATGCAAAAGAAAAGAATGATAGGATATGAAATAATATTAAATTAAAAAATTTATTTTTCTTCACTGTTTCAAAATAGATTTAATTGATAGAAAACAAAACTGAACTACAAATTCTTATTTAACAAATAAATCAACAAAATCTTTTCTCTTTTTCTTTTCTTTTCAAATTAAAAATTTACAAATTTGTTTCTCAAATAAACTATCTTTTAATAAAAATATCCTTCCTTTTCAAAATTTCTTTTCGCAAAACAATAAACTTCAAATTCTTTTTTCTTTGATCAAAACAACTTTTCTTTTCTTTTACTTCTTTTCGTCAAAATCTTTTCTTTTCATTTTTTTTCCAGAATCAAAATGGGACAAATGGGAACAAAATGCCATCACTGTGGCTGCTGAAAATGGAGTAGGACAACAATTAAATCAACTTAATCAGCCTGTCGGATTCTTTATCGACAAAAACAAAACTATCTTCATTGCTGATTATAATAATCATCGTATTGTTGAATGGAAATGTAATGCAAAACAAGGACAAATCATTGCAGGTGGAAATGGACAAGGAAATCGAATGGATCAATTGTATTATCCAACAGATGTGATTGTTCACCAACAAACTCATTCGATCATCATTGCTGATCAAGGGAACAGACGAGTGATTCAATGGTTCAATCAAAATCAGCAGATACTCATTAACAATATTGACTGTTCTCGTTTGGCAACGGATAAACATGGATTTCTTTATGTTTCTGATCATCAGAAGAATGAAGTAAAACGATGGAAAATGGGTGAATATAACAATGAAGGAATTGTAGTAGCAGGTGGAAATGGAAACGGGAATAACCTCAATCAACTCAATTCTTCAGGTTTTATTTTTATTGATGAAGATCAGTCTGTTTATGTATCGGATAGAGACAATCATCGTGTAATGAAATGGAGAAAAGATGCAAATGAAGGGAGAATTGTAGCTGGAGGAAATGGTAGAGGAGAAAGTCTCAATCAATTGTCTTATCCTCGAGGAGTAATAGTTGATGAATTGGATCAAATCTATGTAGCAGATAGTGGGAATGATCGAATAATGCGTTGGTGTGAAGGAAAAGAAGAAGGTGAAATTGTTGTTGGTGGTACTAAAAAAGGAAATCGATCAAATCAATTGAATACTCCCCTGGGTATATCTTTTGATGATGAAAGAAATCTTTATGTTGCTGATTGTTTAAATCATCGAATACAAAAATTTGAAATAATTTTGTGAATGGAGTTTTGATTTTAAAGAAAAGAATTTTTTATTAAATAAATAATCGAGAAATAAAAGAAAAAATAAAGTTTTGTTTATTGAAAATCAATGAAAAAAATCGATTAAAATTTGAAGAAAAAGACATATTTTGACAAAAGAACGAGGTAAGATGTTTTTGTTTTTTTTCATGAAAATTAAACTTAATTTTATAATTTTGATTAAGGAATTTGAATAAATAAATGTTAAATTATTCATGTTCTGTTAACTTTTGTTGAATTTGATAGAAGGAAAAAAAACAAAATAAAAGATTTTTTTGATTTGAATTGAATTCAAATAAAAGATTTTTTTGATTTGAATTGAATTCAAATAAAAATTATTTGAAAAGAAGGTTTTCTGTTTAATTAAATACTATATAAGTATTTTTGTTATTCCGATTGAATAAAAATTGAAAAGAGAAAAGATTGTTTTTGAACAAAACAAATTTAGAAACGATTTTTCTTTAATAAATTAATAAAAATTGAATTGAAGAATAGTTTGTCAAAATGAACACAATGGAAAAAATTTGATTTGAAATCTCAAAATAGATCAATGAACATTTTCATTTAAATGAAAACAAAAAAATAATCTCGAAAGAAAAATGACTTAAGAGTATGAATATTGTTTTCACTCATAGTGACATTTGAAAGTCGAATTTCTTTTAGGAAAACAATCATTGGACTAATTAACGAAATGATCGAATGAGTAACAAAAAATGTTTATAATTATTTGAAGTTGATAGTCACTTAACCAAATACTTAAGGTACATGATGAAATAAATTGTAAAATGCATTTTTAAATATTTTCAAATTAGTCTGTCAAGAATATATACGGCTACGAGAAATTGTTTGTCCTGATGATACAAATAAAAAATGAACTATGATTTTCATATAAATAGACATATTATATATTTATATTAATTAGGGAAATTTTTCAATATTTAAAATTTATTTAATTTATTTTATAATAATTTAATAAATAAATGTAATCATATGTATTCAACTTAAATAATAATATCTTTAAGATAATCAATCGATATTGTTTTATTTGTAGTTTTAATTAAAAAACGAATATACGTATGTAGAATATAGAAGACTCATTACAAGAAAGAATATTAACACGTATACATTATTTAAGAAAGGAAAAAACTAATAAAGATTTGTCTTTACTTTCAACAGAATGAATTGAATGTTTAATAGAAAATTATGTCTATGATAGAAAGCTTGTTATTAAATCTCTTTAATTTCTCTCGAGATTCTTCAATATAGTTTTGATGATTTAATAAATAAAAAGATATTTTATAATTTATTAATTAAATTTTATAGAATTACTAATATCTGGCATTGACTACTGATCAATTCTTCTACTTATCCATTGACGATTCTTACTGATTTCATACATGAAATTATCTAATTCGAATATATCACATCACTTATTCTTTGATGATGATCATATGCAATTTTAATATTTCGCTTTTTCTTTTTCTATTGACATTCATATCGACTTATAATTATTCGTTTTTTCAATATTAAAAATCTTAAGAAATGTCATTTTCATCGAATCTTTTTCATCATATCAATATTATTATTATTTTAGCTTTATTATAATAAATTACATATGAATAATAATATTACTGTTTCATTCAATTTTCATATAGATATACATAAGATAATGGTTTAAATTTATTTTAAAAATATCTTACATCAAAAGTATCACAGAATTTCTATGACAAAATCTATTTTAAACAATATAGAATATTTTCAAACATGTTTTATTATGTATTTGTACTGAAATATATTAAAATAACATTGGAAATATCCCTTTGTATATAATACTTTCGTTTTTATTCTTACATCTGACTATATCTTATTTATTTGCTTTTTTCGATATAGTTTTTCTTCTTCAATTAAATGACTATATTTATCAGTGCTTTTATTTTCGATAGATTTTCTTCTGTGGAAAATGTATCTGACATTTTCCATTTCATCAATTAACAAAACAAAACTATTGAAAATTTATTTTTTATTAAAAATAGTATTCTTCAATCTTGTTGCGTGATAAAACTCTAATAATCTATTTAATCAAAAATAAAGTCTATTTTTTTTATTTTGTTTTTTCTCTTATTCATTTAAAACATCAAATTTTATTCTTTTGAAAAACAGTTAGAAGAATTTAATCAATAAAAAAAGATATTCAAAGTGGTGTTACAACCTTATCGAAAATTGAAGAAAATGTGAGTATTTATACGATGAGAAGTGATTATACTTCTTCAGTTATTTCCATCTGCGCAATACAATATATTCTGGGAAAATAGCTATATGTGGTATTCCTTTGTTCATAACTGGGAAATAACTCACTGCCAGAGAAATCAACAGAACAGAAAAAAAAGAGAGAAAAATACCCATATTATCGTATATGTGATTGATGAAGAGAACGAATATTTTATTTGTTCACTTACAAGTGATATAGATAGAATTCTTATTCATATCGAAAACTTAGAAATTTAATTATTTGAAATAGTTTGATTTAGGTAAGTTAGTTTTTTGTAATGATATGAAAAAATGAGGGAAAAAGAATATCAAAGAATAACCATCTTGAGAATGAGAGTGATGAAAATGAACATGACGATGCAGTTGGATCCATGTGGAGCATAAAGTATGAATGTGTTATCACTCTGTATTGTTGTTTATTCCTCTTCTTTCACAAAACAGGAATCATCCTTCTCGTCACGCTATTCACTCCTTACACACTCAACGATATCAGTAGTACGTGAGAAAACGAAAGAAAATCAGCATTCTTTATGGAAAGTGATATATCATGCGTATCTTCTTGATTGCGATCATTTTTCTTTAATTGACAAAAAAATATGTCCGCAATCAAGAAACGGCGGGTAAGAGAAAAAAACGGGCGCATTTAATAGACTGCCCGCAAAATAGAATCGAATTGTGAGGATAAAAGTGTCCGCATTATAGAATTACTGAAAAGAAAGAAATCGACAGATAAGTGTAGGACATTTTAATAAATTATATAGACGAAATTATCGCTAGTGACATGATGTGGTACTGAATATATGAGTGCTGTCCAGGTCATTTTTTTCGAAAGTGTATGCTAGGTATAGACTTATTTAAAGCAACCGAAATAGAAATAAACAGTTCATAAAATGTTCTCTTTGCTATAGAAAAAGATGATGCTGATTATGAACCTAAACCATAACTGACTTCAATCTGCTTGTATTTCTTGTGTTTTCTTCTTTCTTTATATAATAAACTTTAGTTTCTATAATGCGGCTATTTTTACTGCTATACTTCGATTTTATTTTGCGGACAGTCTATTAAATGCGAACATTTTTTCCTCTTACCCCCCGTTTCTTGATTGCGGACTTTTTACTCTAATTGACGAAAAAATTTGACCGCAATTAAGCTGTAGCCGTATCATGTTATAACAGAGTACAGATCTATGTTTAATCTTTACCTACCTTCAAATCTACATTAAGACATTTTTTTATTGATTAAGCATCACTAGAATTGTTTGAGTTTTTATTTAAAATTAACAAAAACAAATTCTTTTTCGATTTCTTCTTCCACTACTGAACAACCTTTTTAGTGTCATGGAGTTATTCATTTTAATATATCTATAGAAGTAAATAAGGACATATTCATTTCTTTTATAGACTTCTAATCAAAGACATAGCAATGGCCAGCAATAAAACACGATGTTTTACATGTAATAAGAAAAAACTAACATATACTTGTGAAGGGTGTTCACAAAGATTTTGTTTAATGGATTTAACAGCACATCGTCAAATATTAAATTATGAATTAGATCAAATTACTGATGATTATAATCACTTTAAACAAGAGATTAATGAACAACAACTTAACACACATGATCTTTCTTTATTCGATAAAATTAATCAATGGGAAATCGATTCAATTGAGAAAATTAAACAAAAAGCAGAAGATTGTAGAGAAATTGTCGTTAAATCATCACAAACATATATTGGAAAGAAATTTAATGATTTACGTGAACAAATAGAACAAATTCATAAAGGAAATGAATTTAATGAAATTAATTTAGAGTATTTAAGAAATCAATTAATGAAAGTTACACAAGAATTTTATAATTCATCAAATGCTTCTATTCAACACGATTCAAAACCATTTATTAATGAAATTTCAGTTATTTCATTAAAAAGTAAGTTTTTAATAAATAATTTCCACGAACAAAAATTCTCATTTTTTATAATATTGTTGAAAAACTATAAAAACAATGATGAAGAAGATAAAAAAATCGAGATGATTATTATTGATGTATATATTCATTAAATCAACAACAATAATACTAATATAGAGAAAAGATTAAATTTATTTGTATGTGAAGAGAAAGTATGACAGGATATGGAATAATACTTTATTAAAAAAAAGATTTTTCTTCAGTTTTAAAAGATGTTCGATTGATAAAAAACAACATTTTCTTTTTCTCCTTTTCATAAAAATATTTTGTTTTTATTATTTTCTAGAACCAAAACTCAAGAAATGGAATCAAAATGCCATCACTGTGGCTGGTGGAATAGGATACGGAGAACAATTAAATCAACTTCGTGGCCCTCAAGGAATCTTTATTGATAAAAACAAAAATATTTTTATCGCTGATGGTGAGAATCATCGTATAGTTGAATGGAAATATAATGCAAAGGAAGGACAAATCATTGCAGGTGGAA